GTTTTTTTATAGATCCCTATTTCTTTTTTTAGAAAATATTTTTTTCTCATACCATACGTATACATAATGTACGTAAACCATGTTTCTTCATTATTGAAGATCATAAAAGCCATATTAACTATGCTAGTTTTTTTGCCAACTATTAAATCTACTATGATGCTTTGAATATAGAATATATATTAAACACATCATAGATTTTACAAATGCTTTTTCATTTTTTTGAAAGATTAATTATATTATCTATCAATAAAAAAGACTAATTTCTCCAAACACCACAAAGAATATATATATATATATATATATATATAGTTTTAATTGTAGCGGTTTTAACCATTACCATCGACATTAGTAACAATTCTGGGAACTGCTACAATTGTTACCATAGCAAGCATTATATTAACGGCTTTACAGACAGCTGCCGCCGAAGTCAAAACATTATAAACATTGTAACGGCTTACAAAATCACTATTACAAAATTATATTGTTATCAACGAGGACTTGAAATTTTGAAAATAAATTTGTTTTTTTTATGGAGTCTCTTAGTGGTTTTGTAATTGTTACCATATTCAAAAATTTGAATTTTTGGTGGGATCCTTGGTAACAGTTTGAAACTGCTACCTGATCTTGAAATTTGAATTTTGGGCAGGATAATCGATCTTAAAAAAACACTCTTTTGTTCTTTCTTATTTGCTTTATATATAAAAGTATATGAATTTTCAAGGAAAAGAAGAAGAAGAAGTGTATTCAATCATTTATTTGCTGAAGTTAAAAGATGCATTGGATATTTATAGTTTATTATATAAAACTAGTTGGTGTTTTTTTTTTTGGGTAAAAAAAGTAATATTTTATTGACATTTAACTTTGGAATAATGACCAATTCATCTATCCAGACTTTGTTGTGTTTGTTTGAAGAAAATCACTCAACCAATTGTTATAACAAAAATCACTTAATTAAAAGAGTAAAAAGTGGCAAACAAAAAACGAGTTAGGGCTAGAAATATAGGTGAAATTTATTGAATTGTTTGTTTGAAAATGTTTTAGGTGAGTTTTGAAAAATCAGTTAAACCAAGATAAAATAATTTTAAGTGATTTTAAATTTGGATGCTTTTGATATATTTATTTAATATAATTGCATATCTCAATAGTCAAATTTGAAATAACAAGATAAATTGACTTGATTATTTCCACTAGTTAAACCAATCATCCATTTGTCTTTGTTTTTTTTTTTACTTTTTATCATACCATATATTTCTTCCCATTCACACACACACACACACACACACACACACACACATATATATAAAACAATTAATAATTTTTCCTACCTATTTCCATTCCATTTATTTATTTTCATTCTACTTTCTATTTTTTCTATCATACCAACCATCTTGTTAATATCTCGAATAAATGCATTCTACTTTTTTAGACGTGGCATCTAAAATTATTGCATCAAATACCCTCTTCTTGTTCTCTTCTTTTTGTAATAACTTTTTTCCACTCAGGGAACCCTTTTCAAATGTCACAAAAACTTGAATTTAAAGCAATAAAAAATTAATAGTAAGTATTATATCTTGATATTTGATAATAAACCCCTTCAAATGAGCAAGAGTGATGAATCCAATTCAAGGTTGAGCCATATTGGGCCTTAATTGGGCTATTTCATGTGATCTAATGGCGAAAAAAAAGTCTTATTGCAAGAACACGGACAAAATGATTCACACTTTTAGATACTATTTATGTCAAATATAAAATTTATACCAAGTAATATTATTTATAGCTTAAAAATAACGAGATTTACTTTTCAAAACCCATGCGCGGTGAACTCAAACGATCCCCTTCAATGTACAGATGATTTGAAACTCTTCTTGGATTTTGGTCAAAAAAACCTGTCCTTGGATGACATTATAAAAAAGAGAATAACGACAAAAAAAACTCATAATTCAATGTGGATAATATGTGTGTGTGTGTGTGTGTGTGTGTGATTATAAATAAATTAAATTTAGGTTAATGTCCCTTAAAAAGCTTGAGCCTGCGAGCCTCACACACCCTGTGACACGTTCAGAATTAATATGCTTATTATTTGTACCTAATCAATAAAATAGAATACAAATTTGATTAAAAAGACTTTTGCGTTATTATATATACAATTAAATAATTTAAAAATCATAAATAAAATATTGATATTAATATGAATAATATATAAAAATATATTCAAACAATCTCTTACTCCTTCGTTCAATCTTATAAGACAATTTTTTTTCAACATATTATATTAAAAAATATAAAATATTTTGGGTCTTTTGAAATGCAGTTAATAATTTTTTAAAAAATATCCTTAACTAGAAATATAATTAACAATTTTTTAATTAAGACATTTTATTAAACAAGGGTAAACATTAAAAAAATATAATTTTAAAAATAATTTACTAATTTATTAAAAATGTAATTTAATTAAAAGTATATTATAATATTTAAGATTTCATTGTCTGTGTCCCTATCCCCCATCTATTCTAACTTAAACATCATTTATTGAATGGTAATAAAATACCATTTACTAAAAATTACTCTCTCCGTTTGAAAATATAAGATATTTTTTGAGGAGTTAAATGTTAAAATATATGAGGTATTTTGAATTTTTTGAAGTATAATTATTGCTTTTTTTCAAAAGTAATTTTACTGATAATGATTTTATATTTATTATAGAGTATTTAATAGGAGTAAATATAAAAAGATAAAATTAGTTTGAAAGTAAGTAACTATTTTATTAAGAATAAAATTCAATTAAAAATAACTTATATTTTTAAACAGATGGAGTTGCAATTAACAAAATTTCTAATGTTTATGCTCCTAGGCTCCACTTTTTTTTTTTTTGAAAATCGATCAAATGAATATATTAGCCAAAAAAACGTAAAAAATAGTTCTACAGCTCAAAAGAAAACATAAAACGATAATTATAGATGAAAAGATCAACAAGCCATTGCAACTGTTGCCTCTTGAGTCTTGATCAAACTAGGCTCCATTTGGACGCAGAAGGGCGGAGACTAAAAGACATTGCTTTTCAACACATGAAAATCAAAATATTTCATGTTTATATTATTATCATTTAATTATAACTATTTTTTATAATTAATAATCCACCTATATCCATACTCTCTCTCACACACGCAAATACATATTTTATCTGGTACTATTTATTTTCGTCAAAAACAAATCTATGCTATTTATAAATTGCTTTTACCTTGCATTATTATAATTAAAAAATATTAAAATTCACTAACTCTCCAAAAAAATTTAATAAATTATTGACTTTATATTCCCATTAAATACGCACATTTTAATAGTGTACTTTCTCCTATCAATCTTTTATATAAGTAAAAGTCAATAACATATTCCCTTATCCTAATTTACAAGATACATAGCTAAAAAAAATATAAAATACTTTTACATATAATTACGTATACCAATAAAATCAATGAACATATTTTGCAACCTTGTTTTTTAAAATGAAAGTAAAAATTTCAAAAAAATACATATTTTATCTGGTACTATTTATTTTCGTCAAAAACAAATCTATGCTATTTATAAATTGCTTTTACCTTGCATTATTATAATTAAAAAAATATTAAAATTCACTAACTCTCCAAAAAAATGTAATAAATTATTGACTTTATATTCCCATTAAATACGCACATTTTAATAGTGTACTTTCTCCTATCAATCTTTTATATAAGTAAAAGTCAATAACATATTCCCTTATCCTAATTTACAAGATACATAGCTAAAAAAAAAATTTTAAATATAATTACGTATACCAATAAAATCAATGAACATATTTTGCAACTTGTTTTTTAAAATGAAAGTAAAAATTTCAAAAAAATATCTATTCATTTAATACTTTATTTATAAAAAAATATTAATAAAAAAGAATGTAATTAAAAGAATAATATTAAAAAATTATCACTAATAAAATCTTAATTAATATTAAAATATTTTATATTTTAGGAGGTTAAATCCCACCTCAAAGTATTTCGTAGTCGAGGGAGGGGTGGGGAGAGAGGGTAGGTATTAATTCAAAAAATCAAAATAAAAAATTTCTTACTTCAGTATCATTCTAATAATTTTTTGAGCACGCATGGTGTGAGAATTTAAAATTTGAATAAGCTGTATTTAAATTTTTTTATAATGTTTATTCCACAATGGAATATATATTCATTTTATTTATATTTTACTTTCAGAAAATAACAATATCCAGATATAATATTCCAGAATTAAATTAATTTTAATAATATTGTGCAAATTTTCTAGGGGGAGAATTTTTATAATAATCCCACTAATAAATTGTAAGAGTGGAAATGGTGAACCAACAATTTATTTTAGATCATAAAAATGTGATCGGAACTTTATTTTTAGGTAACAATTAATTTGAAAAAATGGTAATAATGTTTCCTTTCAATCCTTTTTAGTTAAAACATTGAACATCTGATGCTCGGGTGTATGTTTGTACAATAATTATTTAATCATAACCATTATTATTTATTTATTTAAAACCATAAGCAACACTAATATATATATAAAACCTTTTACTTAAATGCTCTTAATTATTTTGCTTACTTTCTCGTTATTTCATTTTCTTTTATATAGAGTATTAAATGAGATTTTAGATCAAATTTATAAACTCCTAACATTTAGTGCCATTAAACAATAAGGTCATTGGTATTTCTTTTAATTTAAATTATGTATAATGTACAACATGAAAAGGTGATTTAGATTTCCTCCCTTACGTAAGCCCATATATTAATAAAAATTATAAAAATATAGGCAATCATATTATTCAAAAATTCATGACATCGTGTTTGGCCAAAAAAAAAATGCATGATATCGCGTGATTATTTCAAGTTTTGTGTAAATATATAAAATTCGTCTAGTGTGTGTGTATATAAATATAAATATAAATATAAATATACAAACCCACGTACACACACTTCCCCACACACCTCTTTTCATATATTTTTTCAGATTTTGAAAAAGAAATAAAAATTTTGAAGCGGAGATTAGTTTTTGGTCAGAAGAATTTGAAGAGGGATTGAGGGTCGAAAAAAATGAGGCAAGGGCAACAAAGTAGCAGTTATTCTTAAACCTTCTCATGGAAAAGCAACGAAACCAAAATCACCACCACCACCACCGTAATCCCGACAACAAGAACCACCACCACCGCCACCATCACCACCGTCAAACTTGGGGCACGTGGGAGGACCTTCTCCTCGCCTCCGCTGTCAAACGCCATGGCTTCAACGACTGGGACACCGTCGCCATGGAGATCCAGAACCGCACCAACCTCCCCCACCTCCTCACCACCGCCCGTAACTGCGAGGAGAAATTCCTCGATCTTGAACGCCGATTCACCGCCCAATGCAACGACGCCGTTCGGGACCTTCCGGAGAACGGCGCTATCACCGGCGACGTCGTCGATCATGTCCCCTGGCTCGACGAATTGCGTAAGCTACGGGTGGCCGAGCTCCGGCGAGAGGTTCAACGTCACGACGTCTCCATTCTGTATCTCTCTCCCCGTTCATTTCCGGATTTTTTGATATTCCTTTTATTTACTATTTTTCGTTTTAGATCTATTTTTTTTCTTTTCCTTATTGTTATTTCTTTTATTTGGAGAAAAGGTCGTTGCAGCACAAGGTGAAGAGATTGGAGGAGGAGAGAGAAAAGAGCGTGAAAGAGAATGACGCAGAACGGGATGAGAAACCAGATCTGGAAGACTCCGGGAAACCGGAAAACGACGAAAAGAACGGAGGAGGGGGAGGAGGAGGAGGAGAACCTGAACCGGCGAATTCTGAACCGGGGAGGCGGCTCGATGACGATGGAAATGATAATAGTAACGATAATAATAATAACATTAACAGCAGTAGTAATAAGCTTCCAACGGGGACGACTCCGACAGGGAGAACCAATCAGTTAACGAGTCTAATTCGACCGGTTCAAGATCCGCGGGAGAGAAAACCGGGGAGGAGGATGCAAAGCCAGAACCGCCTCCGGTCCAGCCCGGTCCGAAACAACCGGATCCTAGCGAGATGGATAAAAGAGTCGAGGACTCGTCCGAGTTGAGAGACTCGGCGGCCCACTCGGAAGGGGAAGGGACGAGGGAGAGCGGCGAGGTGCAGAGCTCGGCGAGCTTGACGAGGAAGAGGAAGGCGAGGAAGAGGAAGAAGGTCTCCGGAAGCGGAGGAAACGGCGAGGAAGAGGCGCCGGAGAACGACGAGTTGGCGGCGAAATCACAACCGTTGATTGGCCTATTGGAGATCATCAAAGGACATGAAAACAGCTCGTTGTTCGAGCGCCGTCTTGAAAGCCAGGTACTCCCCATCGAAAATTCCCTTCCTTTTTTCTTTTGCGTGTGGACAAAACCGGCATTTCACACCTTTCAAAATTTCTCAATTTGTTTTTCTTTTTCCCGTTTGAATTATATGTTTTCTTCCAACGCCCAAGATAACGTGCATGCAAATTGCAAAGCCTCAAAACTGCAACATTAAAAACAATTTCAAATTTTCAATTTGCTATTTTTTGTCAGAAAAAACAAGCCACAAATTTCTTTTTGTTAGGATATTAAGATATAAAAGAATGTGGTATGAGCAAAAAAGAAAACGTCTGTATACTTAAGCTTTTTAATATAAAGGGCACCGTGGAGAACAAGTAGTAGGTGCTTACGTTCATAAATCATGAATTGAACCAAATAGGGACCACTTTTGAAATGTATTGGTTCGTGAGCACATCAATTAAAAAAAAAAAAAGCTCCATAAATGACTGAAGAAAATTACCAAAAGCACGTAAGTGGTATAAGCTTTCGCTTCTTAAATAAGTAGTTCAGGATTCAATTTTTATAACCTTACAAAAATAGCCTTCAGTATTTTGAACGAGATACTATTAAATATATATATATATATATATATATAATTAGAGTGATTTATTTTGAATAAAAAAATGATAAGTGATGCTTTCTTACTTCTGAGAATTGGATAAGAGGTAGTTGGGTATGATTAAAACTCTTGTCTTTGTCCGTCCTTTATATTGAAGGTCAGATATTCATCGTTCATCATCCTAAAAGGTTAATGTATATATATATATATATGCATCTCATATCATATGTGTGTATATATATATAGATAAATTTCGTATAAAATTATTTTAGATTCTTGTATTCCAAATTTGTCTTAACATGTCAAGTTTTATCTTGACAGGATTTTTTCTCATATAAATTTATTCCCCAGTTTTCCGAGCAATCTTTTTTAGGTGAATGCTACACGCTTTATATTTTTATTTGATTTTATTTTTTCCTTGATTTAGGGAAAATTAGAAATATAGTGTAAAAAATTAAAATATAATGTTTTTAGTGAGCACGTGCTATTATCTTGCCATGAAATCAGTTCCTCAGGGCCCATTAGTTAGTTCTCGTTTTGGGCTATGTGGATCTGCCAATAATATTGGACCCAGAAAAGGAATAAGCCTATATAATAATTGAATAATATGAACAATTTTCTTTTGACAAGAAAAATAATAATAAAAATATTTGACTGGTTGACGTAGGTTTAGTACGTGACTGAAATAAGAATATTAAAATTTATCCCGAAAACATTTATTATATTTTCATAAAAAGACCTTGTATCGTCCACATTTATTGTATCTTTAAATGAAAGTAAAAATGTTTTTTGGCAAATACAAACCCTTTTTTTTTGGGGTGGGGACATTTTAGTCATGAGAATGAGATTGACTTTTTTTTTAATCGCTAATAAACTTTCTGAGATGTTTACTTTATTTTAATGTTTTTGTTAGATTTATTATCGATGATTCTTTGTTTTTTGACAATTAAATAAGGAACAAATATGTTGCCTGTGGTATGGTACTTTAGATAAATGATTTGTTTTTTTTTTAATGCCCTTTTCTTGCGCCATCTGGGATGACATGGTTGGATCCTGATCATCCAACCGTGTCTTGTTTCATATATTCTCTCTACTATTTTATTAATATACTTTTACTGAATTTTTTTTTTCATTTTTATATAATGGATCATCAATATGCTCCTTAAAATCATAAAAATTGTCGCCTTGACCTGTGGTTACTTTTTCAAAATATTCGTGGCTTTTAAGTGTTAATGAAAAGTTAATTTTTTTTTCTTACTATTTTACCCTTTATTAGTTTAGTATACTATAATAAATAACAAGTTTAAAATATAAACATTTTTTCCGCTAATCTTAGTCTAAAATATAAGTAATATAGTAATTGTAGAAATTTATTTTTCCATTTTACACATTGTGTTTAAGTTAATGATACTGTAGTTCAGTAAATAACATTAAATGTTCCCATCATCAGAGTTATTTAATATTTTGTATTTAAAAACTTGAAGACAGTTTTATAAATTTAAAATAGAATGCATGAAAACTATATAAAGATACATAAATAATACCGATGGTTCCTTGCATTTGCATATGTATAAGGCAGCTTTATTTTATTATGATTAATTATCATAATGAACTTCATTAAAAATTTCAAGATTAAAAAACTGGCGGTCAGCCACTATGAATTTGAGGTTGAGGAGCTTTTGGTTAGTCGTTCATGGGATGCTAGTCACGTTACTGCTGGCTTGTTTTAATAATAAAAGAAAAACGAAAAAAGCTGTGGAATTAGCAGTGGGCCCCATGTTTCTTTTGTCATCTTTTTTTTTTTTTGGGCCACTGTTTCTTTTGTCATCTCATCTTATTGCTGGCTCCTTCTTTCTTTTTAAAACCACAAACTTGAGATTTTACTAAAATCCTTATTGTATATATGCAGTCGAAAAATTATCTATAAATTATAAAAGCTATAATATTTTTTTTGAATTTGATAATAAATGTATTATATATGAGGCTTACCTAATTTATTAATTATATATGTATATTTATATTTTGATAAAATATAATATATTTAACTTGAGACATATGTAGTATTTATAATATGATATATATTATATAAAATATGATGATTGTTTAGAATTTAGAATTCACATGTATATTTCAGTTTGCTATATTTCAAAATTTTTTAAAAATATTTCAATGTACTTAATTATTTTGGTGTGTTGTTTGGTGAAGGACGAATGGGAAAAATACAACAGCACGGTACGTGAGCACGTGGACTTGGAAATCATACAAACGCGACTTCGAAATGGCTATTACTCTTCCCACACCAAAGCCTTCTTCCGTGACCTCTTCCTTCTCTTCACTAACTACATCGCCTTCTTCCCCGCTCACTCCGTCCACTCACGCGCCGCCGCCCAGCTCTGCACTCTCGTCTCCGACGAGATCAAGAACTTCATCCAACCCCACATTATTAACAGCCCTCCTAATAATTCACTCCCACCTCCGCCACCGTCATCACCGTCACTCAAGCCTGATTCTTCTTTGCTTTCCAAGCACAAAGCTTCCGCTCCCATATTGGTTTGCCGGAAACGCACTTCCATGTCCAACAAACCTTCCTCTGCTTCCACCTTTGCCCATAAGGGTAATGACCGGTTAAGCAGCGAGAAGAGGCCACCGCCACCGCCACCACCCCAGAAGAGACCACCGTCAGTTTCTGATGATTCCGATGATGAACTTCCTTCTCCTCCCCCTTCTGCTCCTCCTTCTCTGCCACCTCGGTCGAAAGAGAAGCCGGTGACTGGAGCAAGAAGCATGAGAAGAAGCAGCAAAAACCTCGGCGGCGGCGGCGCCATCCAGAACAAGAAGCTTCAGTCCAGCCAAGCAAGCCCTCCCAAATCAGATAACAAAAGCAAAGCGTCTTCAGCAGCAGATCAAGAACAAGCAGCATCAGCGTCGGACAAGAAGAGGAGCGCTGCAGCAGATTTCTTGAAAAGAATAAAGAAAAACAGTGCCGGCGAGGCGATGAGGGGCGGCGGAAACAGCCGAGGAGGAGGCGGCGGCGGGAGAGATCAGAAGAAGGCGACGGGTGGTGGTGGTGGTGGTGGGAAGAGTGAACAGAAAGGGAGAGAGAAGACACAGAGGCATGTTGGTGGATCGGGGGAGAAGAAGAGCAGTGAGAATAATAATAATAACAACAATACAGAGAATAGCAACCAGTCAAGGAGAAGTGTAGGGAGGCCACCAAAGAAGGTAGCAGGAGAGAGCAGTAATAATAATAACAGTGCTTCAGTTTCTGCAAAACGTGGAAGGGAACGAAGTGGTAATGGTGGGAGAGAAAAGAGGCCAAAGAAACGAACTAGGAAGTGATAGGATTAATGTAATGTCGTGTAGATCGAGGTTAGCTTTATGGTTGGTTTTGGAGAACTGTATATCTTTGTCACTCTCGACCTTATTTATTTGTTAGCACAAGCAGCTGTAGGTCTCAATCCCATCCCTTTGTATTGGGAAAAAAATATGAATACATCCTTTTTTTTTCTTTTTTGCAAAAAAAAAAAATAGTGTTTTGGCAAGGGATAAAAAGAATTAATGAGTGTATATAAAGAAAATACACACACGCGTATCTGTGTATGGAGAACCGAATGAAAATACTCGTTGGATCGATAATGGTTACATGTTTGTAGGTTCGAAGATGCGATGATATTAAAGTGCATGCCAAAGAAAATATACAACCGGTCATATTTTTTTTAAAAATTTTTTTAAACATTTTAATTAATGTGCAAGTGCATACCATAATACAGGGCATTAGAAGGTGGTAATTATTTCATTGATTTAAAAAAAGTGAGGAGAAATCTTGATTTCTTAAAAAATTTGACATCTTTTAAATGACAGTACTCTTATTGGATATCTTTTATAATATGCCTTAATAATAATAATTAAAATTTTAATACATTATTTTTTTAAAAAAAGAGTGATACATAAAGTAAGGGTGTAATTGAAAAAATAATTATAAAAACTATCTAATATGTTATATTTTAGACTAAGTAAGATTTCTAGAAAAAGTCTTATATTATGGCCAGAAGGAGTACTTAATTAAAAAAAATGAGCAAATAAGCAAGATATATTTAGACACGCATGTTCCAAAACTATAAATTATAAAATAAGTATATATATATATTGTAAACTATGGATATTAAGGAATATTGTTTCCAAATATATATTAATTTTTTAATTTAAGTATTCAATTTAATAATCAATTCTTTTTTATTTAAACACATACTGTTATTTAAAGAGATAATAAAATTTTTAGTTCTTAAATTTTGATTATCAATTTGGTCCTGAAATTAAATTTGGGAGATAAAATTTATAATTGAGACGAAGTTAAAGGATTAAAAGTTATAATATTTTTATTTTAAATATATTAATTTATTCATTATCGATTTAATTATAGATTTGCCATATATTTTAAACTATTGAACTATAAACCATGAACTCCCACATCAACTTGGATAGCTAGTCAAGTGTTTTAACATTGATGGGTGTGTATGGTTAATTTTCTTTGGGGTAACAATGTCAGTCTTGAATAGGTTTGCAAACACTATTTTTGGAGTATTTTGGGTTCTATATTCTCAAAGAGAAGCTAGCTAGCTAAAGCCTGTGCCCACTGAATATTGATTCCTTGTTTGAATTTTGTATTTAGTTTGTTTGTTTCCTTAAAATGATAGATTTCTATGGACATGACAGTTTATTTATTTATTTATCAAGAATCAATTATGTTTACAAGGCTTAATTTAAATCTGACGTTGAAAGAAGCTCGCGTTACCATTTACTATTAAGTAATAACCAGCCGTTGGCTGTAGACAAGCCGTTCAATCAATGTATTAAATATTCAATTCCTTTCATATTGAATTCATCTTTGACTAAAACAAATGCTTGAAATATCAAAATATATAATATAATTAGGCTAATGATTATTTTTACACATAAAAATATTATTCAATACCCTAGTATTTATAAGATTTTGACATATATTTTAGGTGTTAAAAGTGTATAATTTTATTGCGATCAGAATATCGCATATATACTATAGATTCAGATATAAATTGGCAAAAAAAAAAATCAAAACAAAAACAAATATGGGACAGGTAGAGACATGCCGCAACGTTGCCATCTGTATTGGTCGCCCAATCAAGGGATTCTATCTTCTATTCCATCGCATCAAAATTATATTTTGTGGTTAATTCTCCCTAAAAATAATTTATTTATAAGAGCGTGTGTGTGCATTGCGAAAGCGACATCAATTTCTTGCCCAACCATTCCTAACAAATAACGCCAAATTATGGTCAAAATGAGCCTGACAAATTATAAAAAAAAAACAAAAAACAAAAAACAAAAAATCTTCATGCCTTGATTGCCTTGTCCCACTGTTATGTTGGATCGAAGAGATAATTACTGATTAACTCAAATGTGGATAGAAACAAGGATTAACAGTCGCTTTTTCCTTTGAAATTTACTTTTAGGATTTGTGCAAGTATCCTAAATTCAACACTTGGTCATTTTTACACGTGAATGTGTAAAATTTGTTGCCTTATTACTCGACATTAACGTGCCTAACGTTCGTCTGCTAGTTAGTGGGTCTCATTATTTTTTATATTTTAATGCATTAAAAGTCATTTTTGCTCCCAAAATTTTCCCGTAAGATCTACAAATATATTAAACTTAATTTTGAATCGTTTGTGTTCTTAAATGTTTTAAATTATATTTTTATAATAAAATATTATACATGGGTCTCAATCTTCTTATTTCTCTCCCCTCTTTCCTGGCCCACGTTTTGTCTTGTCCATTCCTCCAATATTCTTCTCCTATAAGCTTTGAAATAAATTAAAAAAATTATAATTTTACTAATTTTGGCTCTAAATTTTTTTACACTTAGCTCAAATTTTTGGCTCTATTGCAAAACAAAGCGTGGAAAAGAAGACTAGAGAAATGAAAAAGAAAGAGAATTGGGGGTGGGGGAGAGAACATGGGAGAGGAGAGAGTGGAGAGAGGAAGAAGAAGACAATTGCAGCCCACGCATAATACAAATATAATATAAAATGTCCAAATATAAAAGTGATTTAAAATTAAGTTTAGGATGCCAATAGCTTTTTATTGAAAAGTTTAAGTGTAAAAATGACATTTAATTCTTGTAAAAAATATAAAATGTGCAAATGGTGAGACCTAGATGACGATCATTAAATGCTTTAATGTCATGGTGATGAAGCAACATATTTCACAAGTTTAGAGACAAAAATAATTCAATATCAAGTTCAAGATACTCACAAATTTTAAAGATAAAGGTGACTCTTAACCCTAAAAATAATGATAATGTTTTCTCATAGAAAGAGTATGAATAATACTAATAAAGTCAATAAATACAGTTTAAAATCTTAATTGTTTTATAAACTTTCAAACTATCATTTATCTAATAAGAAAAAGAGAGAAAATATATATTTAAAGAGTAAAATAACAAGGGGTAATACAGGGCTAACCATCATTAATAAAGTGTTTTTTTTTCCAAAACATCTTTTGTTTTAGAATATACCAAATCACTAACATTGATGAATACATATGTATTCTCTAGAAGATTTATTAAGCACCTAAGTTTTCTTCATAAAATTTCATTTGATTTCAATATGGGAAATTTTAACATTTATGCCAAAGAATAGTTTTTTATTTATTGAGAAAATGACAGAAAAATCTTTCTAAAATATACAACAATGATATTTATAAAATGTCATAATTCTCTTTAAGTCTAAACCACTTGACATTAATAATTTTTCATAAAATGATAAAAATACCTCCAGTTTAAAATAAAAGAGAGTAAATATTAGTTATGCAAAAGGGGTGTCTTAAATTAGGACTTAAATCATCATACTAATCATGGTTAATTAAAAACTAACCCAAAACTGATATCCTATAGAGATTAACCTAAACAAGTTATTAACATGTATTTTCACAAACTATTTAAAACAATAGGGATCTCAAGTTTTTAAAATATTTCAACATCTCACACTATTCAATTAAATTTGTGCAGAAGCATGAGATTGATTGAGTATTAAAAAAAACATTTCAAGATGGGAGAAAAACTTTCCTCCTTATTTTCTCTTTGTGCCCTACTCCACATAGAATATATATTCACTAACATGACACTTGGCCACTCAAACCCTTCCATAACTGACAACAAGAAGCCAAGGTCTTAATCACATTTATCACAAGAATTATCACCTAGTCATCATACTTAGATATCATATATTCATCATTAGCTCATCATATATGTGAATTTTTCTTTTTATTCGTATATAGTTAATATCAACCACTCACCCTTGGATATGAAAAAACAAGGAGAGATCATAACAACATTTAAGTTCTCAAATCAAGTAGATAATAACTATTTTCACTTACATAAGTATTAGCCCACTAATATAAACATAAACATTAAACCACATTCTTAAGGGCCTAAAATACATGTCCACCTAACACAAAACCCATAATGCAAGTGGATCAAGAATATATGGTCATAGTTGGCAATATTATAAACTAAATGCACGAATCAAAATAAAAGGAGAAAGACCTACAGAAGTGATTATTATCACTTGGCCTAATGCTCATTTCCTCTGTTTTTCCCAGACAAGCTGACTTTTGTAATATGTTAAAAGAGAGGAATGCGTACAATCACTCAGTAATCAAGGTGCATCTAAATTATATAAATGCATTGTAATTAATCATGAATGCAAGTGACTAATAAATTTATCAAGATAACCATGTAAACAATCATGTCAATATTATGTTAATCACATTAACATTTAACTCGTGTGAATAATTTCAAGAATAAAGTCAAGTATAAAATTGGCACAATTGCCCACAAGTACTAAATATTTGTACAAAATTAGCGCAAGTGGCCACATATATATTGTTCACATATTTATAATATATTCTCATTTTCATAATTACAAGCATAATCTCAAATATAGCTATCGATAACTTGAATGGCATAATAATAATAAAATACATGATCAATATCTTTCTTATATCCTTCCTTATTTTCTTTGACATGAAATTCGTGGGCCAACAACTGAAAGGAATTGTCCATATGCTGAGACTTTTTAAGACCTTAATCATATTGTGAGGGGTTATTGGGTTAGGGTTACCTTACTCATTTATAAACATAATTTCCCCTAAATCATATATTATGGGATGTCATACTCAAGACTAGCTCTACCTAAAAATCTAGGTAGGCTAGTAGGGTTAAGTCTCTTAATAGGAATAATGTTGTAGTACCCTACAAAGTAAGTAGCGATTATAACCCTTAAAATTATGGGTTAATAGTCAAGTATCATATAAATTTTGCACAACCCCTAACTCCTTCACTAAAGTGAACTCCTACCATATGATCATGCTCATGAGAAAATGCATTTCAATAGCTCCTATATGTAATTCACAATTAACCCACATGATCTCAATTTTCATGCTCAACAAGCATCAATAATTATCATTCCCAATCATGC